CAACATTGGAACATTGTAGTCTATTCGCACAATTTAGTTTACTTTTTTATAAAAAAATGTCTTGTTTTGTAGAAATACAAGAAAGGAACCAGCATACCGTACAACGAATGCAACAACTGCCTCTGTGTCGGGCCTGAAGTAAGCTGTGACCTAAAGCCGTGCACTCCCTCGCCCGAGGCCGGATGTGAACTCAATGGAGTGGTAAATTCATTTGGCGCTCTGTGTAGACATTATCTTTAGTTTTCTGCATGAACAATGTTGGTTTTACGTTGAGCAGACTGACCCGAACTAACACCAGACAGACCAGACAGACCAGACGGACCAGACAGACCAGACAGACCAGACAGACCAGACAGACCAGAGGCGTAGCGACCCTTCCATGCGCCCGGGGACAAACTTTCGATTTGCACCCCCCGCTCGAACTTTTCATTTGCACCCCCCTCATCCTTTCGATTTGCACCCCCCTCGAACTTTTCATTTGCACCCCTCCCTCAAACTTTCAATTTGGCGCCCCCCCTAAGGTCGGCGCCCGGGGACATATGTCACCCCCGCCCCCCCCCCTCGCTACGTCAGACAGACCAGACAGACCAGACAGACCAGACAGACCAGACAGACCAGACCAGACCAGACAGACCAGACCAGACAGACCAGACCAGACAGACCAGACCAGACAGACCAGACCAGACAGACCAGACCAGACAGACCAGACCAGAAAGACCAGACCAGACAGACCAGACCAGACAGACCAGACCAGACAGACCAGGACCAGACCAGACCAGACAGACAGACCAGACCAGACCAGACGCAGACAGACCAGACCAGACCAGACAGACCAGACCAGACCAGACCAGACAGACAGACCCAGACCAACAGACCAGACCCAGACCAGAAGACCAGACAGACCAGACAGACCAGACAGACCAGACAGACCAGACAGACCAGACAGACCAGACAGACAGACAGACCAGACAGACCAGACAGACAGACCAGACAGACCAGCAGACCAGGACCAGACAGACCCAGACCAGACCAGACCAGACCAGACAGACCAGACCAGACCAGACCAGACAGACCAGACAGACCAGACAGACCAGACAGACACCAGACCAGACAAGACCAGACCAGACAGACCAGACCAGACCAGACCAGAAGACAGACCAGACCAGACACCAGACAGACCAGACCAGACCAGACTGACCAGACAGACCAGACAGACCAGACCAGACAGAGACCAGACCGACCAGATCAGACCAGACCAGACAGACCAGACAGACCAACAGACCAGACCAGACAGACCAGACCAGACAGACAGACCAGACAGACAGACCAGACAGACCAGACAGACCAGACAGACCAGATAGACCAGACCAGACAGACCAGACATACAGACAGACCAGACAGACAGACCAGACAGACCAGACAGACCAGACAGACCAGATAGACCAGATAGACCAGACCAGGCAGACCAGACCAGACCAGACCAGACAGACCAGACCAGACCAGACAGACCAGACAGACCAGACCAGACCAGACAGACCAGACCAGACCAGACCAGACAGACCAGACCAGACTAGACCAGACCAGACCAGACCAGACCAGACCAGACCAGACCAGACAGACCAGACCAGACCAGACCAGACAGACCAGACCAGACAGACCAGACAGACCAGACAGACCAGACAGACCAGACCAGACCAGACCAGACCAGACAGACCAGACCAGACCAGACAGACCAGACCAGACAGACCAGACCAGACAGACCAGACCAGACAGACCAGACCGGACAGACCAGACCAGACAGACCAGACCAGAAAGACCAGACCAGACAGACCAGACCAGACAGACCAGACCAGACCAGACAGACCAGACCAGACAGACCAGACAGACCAGACAGACCAGACCAGACCAGACAGACCAGACCAGACAGACCAGACCAGAAAGACCAGACCAGACAGACCAGACCAGACCAGACCAGACAGACCAGACAGACCAGACAGACCAGACAGACCAGACAGACCAGACAGACCAGACAGACCAGAAAGACCAGACCAGACAGACCAGACAGACCAGACAGACCAGACCAGACCAGACCAGACCAGACCAGACCAGACAGACCAGACCAGACCAGACAGACCAGACAGACCAGACAGACCAGACAGACCAGACAGACCAGACAGACCAGACAGACCAGACAGACCAGACAGACCACACCAGACCAGAAAGACCAGACCAGACAGACCAGACCAGACCAGACAGACCAGACAGACCAGACAGACCAGACCAGACAGACCAGACCAGACCAGACAGACAGACCAGACAGACCAGACAGACAGACAGACCAGACAGACCAGACAGACCAGACAGACCAGACAGACCAGATAGACCAGACCAGACCAGACCAGACAGACCAGACCAGACAGACCAGACCAGACCAGACAGACCAGACCAGACAGACCAGACAGACCAGACAGACCAGACAGACCAGACAGACCAGACCAGACCAGACCAGACTGACCAGACAGACAGACCAGACAGACCAGACAGACCAGACAGACCAGACAGACCAGATAGACCAGACCAGACAGACCAGACCAGACCAGACCAGACCAGACCAGACAGACCAGACCAGACCAGACCAGACAGACCAGACAGACCAGACAGACCAGACAGACCAGACAGACCAGACAGACCAGACCAGACCAGACCAGACTGACCAGACAGACAGACCAGACAGACCAGACAGACCAGACAGACCAGATAGACCAGACCAGACAGACCAGACATACAGACAGACCAGACAGACAGACCAGACAGACCAGACAGACCAGACAGACCAGATAGACCAGACAGACCAGACAGACCAGACAGACCAGACAGACCAGACAGACCAGATAGACCAGACCAGATAGACCAGACCAGACAGACCAGACATACAGACAGACCAGACAGACAGACCAGACAGACCAGACAGACCAGATAGACCAGACCAGACAGACCAGACCAGACCAGACAGACCAGACCAGACCAGACCAGACAGACCAGACCAGACCAGACAGACCAGACAGACCAGACAGACCAGACAGACCAGACAGACCAGACAGACCAGACAGACCAGACAGACCAGACAGACCAGACCAGACCAGACAGACCAGACCAGACCAGACCAGACAGACCAGACAGACCAGACAGACCAGACAGACAGACCAGACAGACCAGACAGACCAGACAGACCAGACCAGACCAGACAGACAGACCAGATAGACCAGACAGACCAGACAGACCAGACAACCAGACAGACCAGACAGACCAGACAGACCAGACAGACCAGACAGACCAGACAGACCAGACAGACCAGACAGACCAGACAGACCAGACAGACCAGACAGACCAGACAGACCAGACAGACCAGACAGACCAGACCAGACCAGACAGACCAGACCAGACCAGACAGACCAGACAGACCAGACAGACCAGACAGACCAGACCAGACCAGACAGACAGACCAGATAGACCAGACAGACCAGACAGACCAGACAGATCAGACAGACCAGACCAGACAGACCAGACCAGACCAGACCAGACCAGACAGACAGACAGACAGACAGACAGACCAGACAGACAGACCAGACAGACCAGACAGACCAGACAGACCAGACAGACCAGACAGACCAGACAGACCAGACAGACCAGACAGACCAGACAGACCAGACAGACCAGACAGACCAGACAGACCAGACAGACCAGACAGACCAGACAGACCAGACAGACCAGACAGACCACACCAGACCAGAAAGACCAGACCAGACAGACCAGACCAGACCAGACAGACCAGACAGACCAGACCAGACAGACCAGACCAGACCAGACAGACAGACCAGACAGACCAGACAGACAGACAGACCAGACAGACCAGACAGACCAGACAGACCAGACAGACCAGATAGACCAGACCAGACCAGACCAGACAGACCAGACTAGACTGACCAGACCAGACCAGACAGACCAGACCAGACAGACCAGACAGACCAGACAGACCAGACAGACCAGACAGACCAGACAGACCAGACAGACCAGACAGACCAGACAGACCAGACCAGACCAGACTGACCAGACAGACAGACCAGACAGACCAGACAGACCAGACAGACCAGACAGACCAGACAGACCAGACAGACCAGATAGACCAGACCAGACAGACCAGACCAGACCAGACCAGACCAGACAGACCAGACCAGACCAGACCAGACAGACCAGACAGACCAGACAGACCAGACCAGACCAGACCAGACTGACCAGACAGACAGACCAGACAGACCAGACAGACCAGATAGACCAGACCAGACAGACCAGACATACAGACAGACCAGACAGACAGACCAGACAGACCAGACAGACCAGACAGACCAGATAGACCAGACAGACCAGACAGACCAGACAGACCAGACAGACCAGATAGACCAGACCAGATAGACCAGACCAGACAGACCAGACATACAGACAGACCAGACAGACAGACCAGACAGACCAGACAGACCAGACAGACCAGATAGACCAGATAGACCAGACCAGACAGACCAGACCAGACCAGACAGACCAGACCAGACCAGACAGACCAGACAGACCAGACCAGACCAGACAGACCAGACCAGACAGACCAGACCAGACTAGACCAGACCAGACCAGACCAGACCAGACCAGACCAGACAGACCAGACCAGACCAGACCAGACAGACCAGACAGACCAGACCAGACCAGACCAGACAGACCAGACCAGAGCAGACAGACCAGACAGACCAGACAGACCAGACAGACCAGACAGACCAGACAGACCAGACAGACCAGACCAGACCAGACAGACCAGACCAGACCAGACCAGACAGACCAGACAGACCAGACAGACCAGACAGACCAGACAGACCAGACAGACCAGACCAGACCAGACAGACAGACCAGATAGACCAGACAGACCAGACAGACCAGACAACCAGACAGACCAGACAGACCAGACAGACCAGACAGACCAGACAGACCAGACAGACCAGACAGACCAGACAGACCAGACAGACCAGACAGACCAGACCAGACCAGACAGACCAGACCAGACCAGACAGACCAGACAGACCAGACAGACCAGACAGACCAGACCAGACCAGACAGACAGACCAGATAGACCAGACAGACCAGACAGACCAGACAACCAGACAGATCAGACAGACCAGACCAGACAGACCAGACCAGACCAGACCAGACCAGACCAGACCAGACAGACAGACAGACAGACAGACAGACCAGACAGACAGACCAGACAGACCAGACAGAACAGACAGACCAGACAGACCAGACAGACCAGACAGATCAGACAGACCAGACAGACCAGACAGACCAGACAGACCAGACAGACCAGACAGACCAGACAGACCAGACCAGACAGACAGACCAGACAGACCAGACTAGACAGACCAGACCAGACCAGACAGACCAGACAGACCAGACCAGACCAGACAGACCAGACAGACCAGACCAGACAGACCAGACCAGACCAGACAGACCAGACAGACCAGACCAGACAGACCAGACCAGACCAGACAGACCAGACAGACCAGACAGACCAGACAGACCAGACAGACCAGACAGACAGACCAGACAGACCAGACAGACCAGACAGACCAGACAGACCAGACCAGACAGACCAGACAGACCAGACAGACCAGACAGACCAGACAGACCAGACAGACCAGACAGACCAGACAGACAGACCAGACAGACCAGACAGACCAGACAGACCAGACCAGACAGACCAGACAGACCAGACAGACCAGACAGACAGACCAGACAGACCAGACAGACCAGACAGACCAGACAGACCAGACCAGACCAGACAAACAGACCAGACAGACAGACAGACCAGACCAGACCAGACAGACAGACAGACAGACAGACAGACCAGACCAGACCAGACAGACCAGACCAGACAGACCAGACCAGACCAGACAGACCAGACAGACCAGACCAGACAGACAGACAGACCAGACAGACCAGACCAGACCAGACAGACCAGACTAGACCAGACAGACCAGACAGACCAGACAGACAGACCAGACAGACCAGACAGACAGACCAGACAGACCAGACAGACCAGACAGACCAGACAGACCAGACAGACCAGACAGACCAGACAGACCAGACAGACCAGACCAGACCAGACCAGACAGACCAGACCAGACGAGACCAGACAGACAGACCAGACAGACCAGACAGACCAGACCAGACAGACCAGACAGACCAGACCAGACAGACCAGACAGACCAGACCAGACAGACCAGACAGACCAGACAGACCAGACAGACCAGACCAGACAGACCAGACAGACCAGACAGACCAGACAGACCAGACAGACCAGACAGACCAGACAGACCAGACAGACCAGACAGACCAGACAGACCAGACAGACCAGACAGACCAGACAGACCAGACAGACCAGACCAGACAGACCAGACAGACCAGACAGACCAGACAGACCAGACAGACCAGACCAGACCAGACCAGACAGACCAGACAGACCAGACAGACCAGACAGACCAGACAGACCAGACAGACCAGACAGACCAGACAGACCAGACAGACCAGACCAGACCAGACCAGACAGACCAGACCAGACCAGACCAGACAGACAGACCAGACAGACCAGACAGACCAGACCAGACAGACCAGACAGACCAGACAGACCAGACAGACCAGACCAGACAGACCAGACAGACCAGACAGACCAGACAGACCAGACCAGACCAGACCAGACAGACCAGACAGACAGACCAGACAGACCAGACAGACCAGACAGACCAGACCAGACAGACCAGACCAGACAGACCAGACAGACCAGACCAGACCAGACAGACCAGACAGACCAGACAGACCAGACAGACCAGACAGACCAGACAGACAGACCAGACAGACCAGACAGACCAGACAGACCAGACCAGACAGACCTGACAGACCAGACAACCCCGACTAACCAGCCTGATTGAATGAATTAAGAACAATTATTTTTATTTAAACTAACAAAGACTGCGTGTTAGTCACTATGTTGTTGATGATTTACTTTACTAGTATATAGTAATGCTGCGGTACCTCGAAATACGAATTTAATTTATTCCAAAACATTGCTCGTATCTCAAATTGTTCGTAACTCAAAGCAAATTTTTCCACTGACATTATTTGAAATGCTAAGTACCAGTTTAAACCCTAAAAAAAAGAGAATAACTAGCCCAATGTACGCCTCTGCTAGTTGTTGAAGCTACGTACTTAGAAGAAGAAAATGTATTTATACGTAACAAACAGTGTTTCTTCCAGACCGAAGAGATGCCTGGAAGAAACTCTGGTAACAAATGTTGTATCAAACATAATAAAGGAGACTGTAAAGCAGTAAACTGGTTTTAAAAAGTGTATAGTTTTGGAATCACATAACTTGAGTATACTGAAGGTGTTGGCGGAGGTGTATTTTGAAGGAATTTCACTTTGTTCACTAACTCACTGCATTGTTGATGCTTAACTCTTTCGTTCACTTCAATTAATTAACTTACTCGTTACTCTGAATGCAACAATTTATTCCCTAAACTTAATGGAACTGAACTAAAATTCACATTAATTTATTATTATTTTCGGGTAATTTTCGTGATTGCTATTTTTCACTGGTCTTTGTCTGTTATGTAATGCTTACTTAGGCCGTTTTAATAGAAAATGTTAAGGAGGTTATTTCCTCTTCCCTTTTATATTTTTGCGGAAATGTGTTAAACACTTGTCACTAAGTAGCTACTATCAGTTGTATCTTTTTCGGGGTATTTTGTTTCCATAAACTAGAAATCCTGCTGATCCGATTCCTCATACCTCAGATTCGTAAGGCGAAGTACCGGTGTATATAATCAATGATTTAGATTACTGTTTCATTAAATTGCTTGTTTTGTAGGAATACAAGAAAGGAGCCCTCGTAAAGTTCGACAAATGCAACACCTGTCGTTGTGTTGGGCCTAATCTAAAATGTGACATAAAGCCGTGCTCTACAAAACCTGAGGTGGGCTGTCGACACAACGGGGTGGTAAGCTTTTTATCCCTGCATTGTGTATCATTTGTTCAATAAACAAAATTAGTTTTACGTTGAGCAAGATATAGATTTACAAAACTATAATTAGATCTGTCACATGATGCAGTGACTGAAGGTGATTTGAAATATATAAATTATCATATGATTAGGGTGACACCGCATGGCTAGATATTCACCTGAAGGAAATTTCTGTTATATTGGCTTTAGTCTTGTACACAGTTATTCCATATTTAATTAATCAAATATATGTGCTTTAAAAATGTGCATTAATATCCAAAGCCGGTCTGTTTACTCTCTGCAGTTGTATAAGCCGGGGGAGTTGTTCAAAAAAGAATGCAACACCTGCACGTGCTCCGCCAAGGGCGCTGCGTGTACTAAAATGGGTTGCTCTGGGTAATTTGACTAGTCAGACATACCTGGACAAAACTGACACCCACGCGATGTGCTTTATACGGATGCTGTGGGAAACTAGAGAAATAAATATTGTGCATTAGTAAGCTTTAGTTTGACGGTCATATTCTATTTTTGTTGTTGATTTCTATGTGTTACAATCTGCACCATCTGCTGGTGTGGTGGCAATGATATGACGTGCACTGAAAGAGCTTGTTTGGATCTGAAGTAGTCTGTAATGAAATACTGTCACCTATTTCTGATAAATAGCTGATAAATATATTGTAAATTATAAAAGTCTATCTTACAAACAAAAGTACAAGTATTAATTTCAAGGATCAAATTCTGTTGGAGGTTTTGTAAGCGCTTACTTTTTACCATAGACGACAAACAACAAAGTACGATTAGTTAAAGGATGGGGAACAAAACTCGGCTAAATGACAAGGAACAAAACTCGGCTAAATGACAAGGAACGAAACTCGACTAAATGACAAGGAACGAAACTCGACTAAATGACAAGGAACGAAACTCGAATAAATGGCAATGAACAGAACTCGATTAAATGACAAGGAACAAAACTCGGCTAAATGACAAGGAACGAAACTCGAATAAATGGCAATGAACAAAACTCGACTAAATGACAAGGAACAAAACTCGACTAAATGACAAGGAACGAAACTCGACTAAATGACAATGAACAGAACTCGATTAAATGACAAGGAACAAAACTCGACTAAATGACAATGAACAAAACTCGACTAAATGACAAGGAACAAAACTCGACTAAATGACAAGGAACAAAACTCGGCTAAATGACAAGGAACAAAACTCGACTAAATGAAAAGCAACAAAACTCGACTAAATGACAATGAAAAAAACTCGACTAAATGACAAGGAACAAAACTCGACTAAATGACAATGAACAAAACTCGACTAAATGACAAGGAACAAAACTCGACTAAATGACAAGCAACGAAACTCTGCTAAATGACAAGGAACAAAACTCGACTAAATGACAAGGAACAAAACTCGACTAAATGACAAGAAACAAAGCTAGTTAACGTTATCAAACTTTGAAACATCAAGGGCGACCAAGCCACAAACCCGAATCACTAAATACAACTATTTTAAAATCACCAGCACTTCTAACATTAGCAGTAAACTTGGTTGGGTCAGTGTCTTTTAACATCATGAAAAGTCTGTATGCTTTAAAATTTGCTGCAGTAACACCAACTCTGTCGCTGCTAGAGTGGGCCCCACTTTTACTTTCGTCCAGTGACTTTTAACAATATGAACAGCGGTACGTACGCTTGTCTAGTAGGTCTATGTAATGAGTAGCCGTATGAACCATCTCAAAAGCAACATAATTTATATAATCAATAATCATTATCTATTTAAAAACATGGTTAAAATTAAAAGTAAAAAAAGAAATGTCCAAGATGGAACTTTTAGCACTGATTTATTTCAGTTGATTAATTGACATTATCCTCTGACTCTAAAACTTTTCAACAAAGCGGGTCCGAGTTTATTGTTGTCTTCGTCCTCACTCTTGACCTAGGTTTACGGGATTCTGAAACAAAACAAAAATAGTCCAGATCAAATTACAGCTTATTTATAAAACCAATAGAACAGACTCAACAAAAATCATCATTTGAAAATTAAAATCTAACAATACATATACTAGAATCTCTCTCTCTCTCTCTCTCTCATTATATATATATATATATATATATATATATATATATATATATATATATATATATATATGCATAAACAATTAAGTAAGGAAACGCTTTTTAAAAAATATACATAAAGATAACTTAGACCGTTGTTTTTTCCCTTGTTGCTACCACATTTTACACCAAGCTTATTGTCCACAACACTAACGAGATAACCAAGACAAAATGTCCACAACACTAATGAGATAACCAAGACAAAATATCCACAACACTAACGAGATAACCAAGACAAAATATCCACAACACTAACGAGATAACCAAGACAAAATGTCCACAACACTAACGAGATAACCAAGACAAAATGTCCACAACACTCACGAGATAACCAAGACAAAATGTCCACAACACTAATGAGATAACCAAGACAAAATGTCCACAACACTAATGAGATAACCAAGACAAAATGTCCACAACACTAACGAGATAACCAAGACAAAATGTCCACAACACTAACGAGATAACCAAGACAAAACGTCCACAACACTCACGAGATAACCAAGACAAAATGTCCACAACACTAATGAGATAACCAAGACAAAATGTCCACAACACTAACGAGATAACCAAGACAAAATGTCCACAACACTAATGAGATAACCAAGACAAAATGTCCACAACACTAATGAGATAACCAAGACAAAATGTCCACAACACTAACGAGATAACCAAGACAAAATGTCCACAACACTAACGAGATAACCAAGACAAAATGTCCACAACACTAACGAGATAACCAAGACAAAATGTCCACTACACTAATGAGATAACCAAGACAAAATGTCCACAACACTAATGAGATAACCAAGACAAAACGTCCACAGCACTCACGAGATAACCAAGACAAAATGTCCACAACACTAATGAGATAACCAAGACAAAATGTCCACAACACTAACGAGATAACCAAGACAAAATGTCCACAACACTAATGAGATAACCAAACCAAAATGTCCACAACACTAATGAGATAAACAAGACAAAATGTCCACAACACTAACGAGATAACCAAGACAAAATGTCCACTACACTAATGAGATAACCAAGACAAAATGTCCACAACACTAATGAGATAACCAAGACAAAACGTCCACAGCACTCACGAGATAACCAAGACAAAATGTCCACAACACTAATGAGATAACCAAGACAAAATGTCCACAACACTAACGAGATAACCAAGACAAAATGTCCACAACACTAATGAGATAACCAAGCCAAAATGTCCACAACAGTAAGAAGATAACGAACTGTAAACACCAGATTAAATAACGCAAATGACTTACACCATATGGTGGGCAGCCCATCAAAGTACAGGCACGAAGCCTACCAGCACAGAAGCAATAGTTGCAGTCATCTGATGGCATTGGATCCCCACTCGGGTACAGCTGGTTTAGACGACAGTTTAGAGAGTGAGTTGAACTGAAATAGTTCTAAACTCGATAGTAAAGTTTATGAATGTAACCTTTACATAATCCAAGTACTAAACTGGCATTAAGCTGAACTTAACAGCTATTTTAAGATATTACAACACGCTAATACCACTAATATACACAAACATCTATATATATATAATTATCTTCATGGAGACCACAGAAAACACCACGCAGCTTAGCCACCACCCTCATTCCAACCAGTCAGGTGAGCTGTGGTTCACCCCGAATGTTTACAATAGTAGAGCCGGGTTAGTGACGGCTATTAAGGGCAGATAATTTAGTATTAAACGATTTGAAACGAAGGGGAGGTAAACATTTCTGATTGATCTTTTCTTTGTCTGTAAATGGCTGCTTTCACTGGGCGGGAGGGGGGGGGGGGGGGGAAAGGGAGGGCGGGAGGGGGTAGTTTTGAATTAACAAATAATGAATTGCTGATAAGCAGAAAATAAAACAACTAGATGGCGGCGTATTCTACGTCGCGGTTCAGCTCGAGGTACATATTCTCAACACTTACTACCTATCACATAAACGTAGTACACATTTACTCACGCAAGACATATTTCAAGAACTCACCACCCCATTTAGATAACAACCCTCTGAAGAAGATTCTGGACAGAGCATTCTGGTACAAGAGATCTCGGGTCCGTCACAGATGCAGGTGTTACAGCTGTCCACAGGTACCCGGTCACCTTGATTGTACTCCTGAAAATGTGCTCAATTTTTTAGAATTCGATGCTAAGTCTGTTACACTACAGGCATAATAAAAATAAACAAACACAAATTTACATTTTATGTTCTTTTTATACCCCGTAACTCTTCCTGACATTTTCTGTGTTCACTATTACTTTGGTTGTTTCCCTTCACATAGTAAACTGTTTTACGTAAAAACGGCCAACAATTATTTTGGATAACACGCAAACACTTACAACCATTATAATTAAAGAACAACAGCAGCATGCCTATTTTTAGTTGAGAAAAACTAAACATAGTTTTAAATAGTAACTGAGTTGAACAAGCAAGGTATACAAAGTTTACAGAATAAAATAAATTAGAAATCTTACGAAATTAAACTGAAGCATCAAAATGTTATAAAAAAGATTCAACAAGGAATTAGTGAAAAGGTCCCTGTTTTACAAAACATTTATTATTAAGTAATCTCTTTAACACTTAGTCTAAACACGCTGTGTTGATCTGAAATCAAATGTAATATTGGGCTAACACGCTAAATCTAACAGGAGCCCATGTCTTAATTACATTACAAGTAATTTGTTAAGTAATGTTTTTCCTTGTTTAGTTATTCTTGAGGAAGGAATTGAAAACTTTAAACAAATGCGTCTATTGTAGGATACATGAACCATGAAGTACTCAAACAAATGTGCACACAGTAGGATACATGAACCATGAAGTACTCAGACAAATGTGTCTACAGTAGGATACATGAACCATGAAGTAAACATTTAAACAAATGTGTATGCAGTAGGAAACATGAACCATGAAGTAAACATTTAAACAAATGTGTCTACAGTAGGATACATGAACCATGAAGTAAACATTTAAACAAATGTGCCTACTGTAGAATACATGAACCATGAAGTAAACATTTAAACAAATGTTTCTACATTAGGATACATGAACCATGAAGTAAACATTTAAACAAATGTGTCTATAGTAGGATACATGAACCATGAAGTAAACATTTAAACAAATGTGCCTACAGTAGGATACATGAACCATGAAGTAAACATTTAAACAAATGTGTCTACAGTAGGATACATGAACCATGAAGTAAACATTTAAACAAATGTGTCTATAGTAGGATACATGAACCATGAAGTAAACATTTAAACAAATGTGCCTACAGTAGGATACATGAACCATGAAGTAAACATTTAAACAAATGTGTCTACAGTAGGATACATGAACCATGAAGTAAACATTTAAACAAATGTGCCTACTGTAGAATACATGAACCATGAAGTAAACATTTAAACAAATGTGCCTACAGTAGGAAACATGAACCATGGAGTACTCAAACAAATGTGCACACAGTAGGATACATGAACCATGAAGTACTCAAACAAATGTGCCTACAGTAGGATACATGAACCATGAAGTACTCAAACAAATGTGCCTACAGTAGGATACATGAACCATGAAGTACTCAAACAAATGTGCACACAGTAGGATACATGAACCATGAAGCACTCAAACAAATGTGCACACAGTAGGATACATGAACCATGAAGCACTCAAACAAATGTACACACAGTAGGATACATGAACCATGAAGCACTCAAACAAATGTGCACACAGTAGGATACATGAACCATGAAGTACTCACCACTCCGTCATGCGTGCAGATCTGAGCAGCAACTGACCCAACGAGAACAGCGACAGCAACAAACAGCATGGCGTAAACAGTTTTCATTTTTTAAAATCTGTATAGCAATTGTTTTAATTTTATTTTTGTTATATTTTCTAATATTATAATACCATAGTTATTTTATTTTAAAATTATAATACTATAGTTTTATTATTATGATACCATACTCACTAAAAGATTAACAATGTCATCAATTTGTAAATCTTGTTTATAAAAAATAAACGGAAATAGATAATTTTATTTAGGTAATAAAAAGTTAGGTGTACAAAATATTTGTGTCAACATGTACCTGAGGCTGATCTTTACGACCGTTTCACTTAACGTGGTACAGTGTGCATTTCATCGAGAGCTGAAACTTTTATTTGAATCTTCCATCTGCTACCCTAATTAAAAAGACAATCATCCGTAATTTTCACGCAGAGATAATGAGCTAAAACCAAGCCTCATTAAGTCTAATATGCCGCGCTAAATTAGTCGGGAAAAGAGATAATTGGAGAAATAATTGCAGAAATAAGAGTTAATTATCTTGTCATTTCGTTCAGCTGTTGATTCTGACAATACTCAGATGTTTAAAACAAAAACAAAAAGAAAATAACTTGTTTATTTCATTATGATGTACGGAATCTAGAAACTTTTTACACAAAATAATTTTAAAGCAATGTATCTAAAAATTCTAAGATAATTATAGATGTATGGTTTATTTTAAGGGAGTAGTGTGTACCTAACTAAGTATCTGAGTGGTACTTTAACTCACCACACCAGTGGTACTTTAACTCACCACACTCTGTGGTACTTTAACTAACCACACAAAGTGGTACTTTAACACACCACACCCAGTGGTACTTTAACTCACCACACCCATGCTACTTTATCTCACCATACCAAGTTGTACTTTAACTCACCACACCCAGTGGTACTTTAACTCACCACACCCAGTGATACTTTAACTCACCTGACTCAACAGTACTGGTAAAAATCTTGTCTTGCCTGAGTCACGTGTCCATCCCTGTCTGATGCGCTCACATTTGTATGGCAACCCCAGTAGCGATGGCATTTGTATGCCACCCCCTCCCACGCTTGCAGCGCTAACATTCGTACAACACCCCCTCCCTCCCATTGACCACCTGTCGTTAACAATATCAACCGTATGGCCATCTGTACGTTTTCACTCAAACTGTTTGAAAGATTTTTTACAATGACCATTATTACCTAACATTTGCCATGAGCAACTACCCAATGTTTTAAGTCTTAGGTTTGTGTACTTTAAAACTTTCCTCTTATTTTGGTAAGAAAAGTTTTGTACTAATCTGTGAGACTATTCAACAAACAGCTATCTGTAAACAGGCCGTGACCTGATTATGTCTCTAGCGAACACAGGTTGTCTTCCCTCGTCAAGGACAGTACATAATGTGTTCATGACGAGCACACGTGTTGTTGTTGTTAAGTAGCCCTAAAGTTGTCAATAATGGTCATCAAGTTACTGACCAGTCGAGGCAGTTAAGTAGTCTTTGACATTTTGTATTATATTAGGTCAAATGTTGTGGATAATATATTGTATCAGCAGATCGTGGGGACGTGGGGATGTGATTGAAGGTGTTGGAGGCAGTATTAAATGAATGTGTGTGTCTCTGAGTCTGTATGCGTGTATGTTTCTGTACATCACGAGTCAACATTGTATGCGTGTATGTTGCTGTACATCACACGTCAACCTTGTATGCGTGTATGTTGCTGTACATCACGAGTCAACCTTGTATGCGTGTATGTTGCTGTACATCACGAGTCAACCTTGTATGCGTGTATGTTGCTGTACATCACAGGTCAACCTTGTATGTTGCTGTACATCACACGTCAACCTTGTATGCGTGTATGTTGCTGTACATCACACGTCAACCTTGTATGTTGCTGTACATCACGAGTCAACATTGTATGCGTGTATGTTGCTGTACATCACAAGTCAACCTTGTATGCGTGTATGTTGCTGTACATCACACGTCAACCTTGTATGCGTGTATGTTGCTGTACATCACACGTCAACCTTGTATGTTGCTGTACATCACGAGTCAACATTGTATGCGTGTATGTTGCTGTACATCACAAGTCAACCTTGTATGTTGCTGTACATCACAGGTCAACCTTGTATGCGTGTATGTTGCTGTACATCACAGGTCAACCTTGTATGTTGCTGTACATCACACGTCAACCTTGTATGCGTGTATGTTGCTGTACATCACAGGTCAACCTTGTATGTTGCTGTACATCACACGTCAACCTTGTATGCGTGTATATTGCTGTACATCACGAGTCAACCTTGTATGCGTGTATGTTGCTGTACATCACAGGTCAACCTTGTATGTTGCTGTACATCAAACGTCAACCTTGTATGTTGCTGTACATCACGAGTCAACCTTGTATGCGTGTATGTTGCTGTACATCACGAGTCAACCTTGTATGCGTGTATGTTGCTGTACATCACACGTCAACCTTGTATGTTGCTGTACATCACAAGTCAACCTTGTATGTTGCTGTACATCACGAGTCAACCTTGTATGCGTGTATGTTGCTGTACATCACGAGTCAACCTTGTATGTTGCTGTACATCACACGTCAACATTGTATGCGTGTATGTTGCTGTACATCACGAGTCAACCTTGTATGCGTGTATGTTGCTGTACATCACAGGTCAACCTTGTATGTTGCTGTACATCACACGTCAACATTGTATGCGTGTATGTTGCTGTACATCACGAGTCAACCTTGTATGTTGCTGTACATCACAGGTCAACCTTGTATGTTGCTGTACATCACACGTCAACCTTGTATGTTGCTGTACATCACAAGTCAACCTTGTATGTTGCTGTACATCACACGTCAACCTTGTATGTTGCTGTACATCACAAGTCAACCTTGTATGTTGCTGTACATCACACGTCAACATTGTATGCGTGTATGTTGCTGTACATCACACGTCAACCTTGTATGTTGCTGTACATCACAAGTCAACCTTGTATGTTGCTGTACATCACGAGTCAACCTTGTATGCGTGTATGTTGCTGTACATCACAAGTCAACCTTGTATGTTGCTGTACATCACACGTCAACCTTGTATGTTGCTGTACATCACAAGTCAACCTTGTATGTTGCTGTACATCACGAGTCAACCTTGTATGCGTGTATGTTGCTGTACATCACAAGTCAACCTTGTATGTTGCTGTACATCACACGTCAACCTTGTATGTTGCTGTACATCACAAGTCAACCTTGTATGTTGCTGTACATCACGAGTCAACCTTGTATGCGTGTATGTTGCTGTACATCACAAGTCAACCTTGTATGTTGCTGTACATCACACGTCAACCTTGTATGTTGCTGTACATCACAAGTCAACCTTGTATGTTGCTGTACATCACGAGTCAACCTTGTATGCGTGTATGTTGCTGTACATCACAAGTCAACCTTGTAAGCGTGCACGTTGCTGTACATCACAAGTCAACCTTGTATGTTGCTGTACATCACAAGTCAACCTTGTATGTTGCTGTACATCACAAGTCAACCTTGTATGATGATTCAATACGACTTTTTTAAACATTGTAAGATTCAGTATGACGTGTGATACGCCCGTGGGGGTGGGGGGGGGGGGGGTGGGCATGAGTGAAGCATCCTGACAGAACCAGCAGACCGTGACATGATGTTTACGTGAACAGTTGGGTTTTCTAGTAAAATCTCCGCATCGTTAAGTATTCCTGGAAAGTTTGTCAAATCTGTTTATTTTGGAAATATTTTCAGAAGAGATAAGTAAGATATATATATATATATATATATATATATATATATATATATATATATATATATATATATATATATATATATATGAACAATGTTATGATCGAAATATTCCTTGAAATAAAGCTTTTAGTTGGCATCATCACGTGGATTGTATTTGACGTTCAGCCAACAGTTGACGGCCACACCACAAGTCAGAAGAATCAAGTGGGAAGTTTTCAGCCGGCTCAAGGTGTCACAAAATGGCTGATTCGGCAGACGTGGCAGACAGGTACAAAGGTGAGTTGTTTTTATTTTTACACATGGATTTACTGACTGTGTTAAAGACGGAAAGAAGAGCATAGTTTATATTTATTAATTCTTTGTTTACTTTGTCTACAAAAACATGATTTATTACAAGGTGATCACGATAAGCAGTTTAACTAAATGTAGGCAACAGCAAGCCAACAGCAGTAATTTGATACTGCTGCTGTTACATATAGCTTTTACTTTTGATATTGATCACATAACTATGAATGAACTCTTTCGTATTATGTTTGAATCGTCATGGTTATGTAACACTCACTCAGTGGGGATGCTTGTTACCCACTGAGGTGTTGTGGTTAAAAGGGCTGACCCTGAGATTTAGGACACACTGAAGCGACGCTGTTGTCCACTAATGGCTTTATTCACATTACATCAAGCCATAAACGGCGACGTAGAACAACAGTAGAAAACAGTGTAGAAAACAGTAGATCACAGCAAAACAAAAATAATACAGAAAAGTAATCTAACGAAGATACTCCACCCCTAGTCTGCAACATGCAGCACTAGTAGAAGGAGTACAGTAATATAAAACATAATATTACCTTCTTTGGGTCCAGAGTTTCTTACAGGCATCTCTTCGGGGGGGGGGGGGGGGGGAAATTTTTTTTACCGCCCCCCCCCCCCGAACGAAATGAAATTTATATAATTTATATAGAAAATATATACTTTTAACAGTGTCCGTTCCCCCCCCCCCCCCCATCGAAGAAAGTCTACCGCCTCCCCGAAAATTTCAAGTGCCCCCCCCCCCCCCCCCCCGGTGAAAAAAGTCTGGAAGAAACACTGATTAGGTCTACATTGTCATGATTTACCTCTAGGTACCGTCACCCTCCGTGTCCACAGACAGCAGCCTTGGGCCGCAACCCAATAAATTACAACTTTATTACTTATCTCCCCTTGGCTGGTAACCATATGTGTTACAGTTAAACTATAAAATATAGTCACCTAGCCTCTTATTTATAAAGATAAAGTAAGACTTCTTCATCGCCCGGCTCCGTGGCCATAGATGGCTCTAGAATCCTCTACAGACATTCTCTACCCCCCCCCCTATTGACAGTGTATAACGTAGGAGGGTGTCGAAATATGTCTACAAAAATAAAATATGCACACGCTAATGAGAAACTTTGTCATAAATCCACAGGTAAGCCGGAAATTGAGATATGCTACGGGGGTGAGGCTGACCTCCACAAACACCTTGTCGACTGCACCAAGAACCCAGGTCACCTTGGCTTTATACCTGTAAAAGATTTTACTATGGATCACCTCCCAGCTGGTTACCATGACGACGATTTTTTCGAGTCGATCCAAACACTAATTGATTTGACGGTGTTTATTAAAGTGTATTACACCAGTGCTGATCGCCCGATGTTTGCGTCATATTTCAATAGCCAGTACCCGGCCTACGACATCAGGGGAAGTTCTGTGCTGAGAACTGGGTCGGGCAGGATTTGGAGGGTGTACCGGTTCAACAACAGGAGAGATTTGTCCTGCAATTGTCCGAAATGTGAGAACTCTACCAGCCCCAGCAAAGATTTCGCCGACATCACGATCATCACCGTGCCCCATGTTGTGTTTGACGACAGCGAAGCCAAACACGCCAAATGTCTGATCAATTTTGACGGTCAGAAAAGTCCGTCGGTCACGCTTGAAATCGGTCGATTGAACTGCATTGACGTGGAACGGGATTTGTGCCTGTTGACCTTTGTGACGTGTGACGTGGCGTTAATTGATAGGCTTTACGACAAGTGGAGCCGGTTTGATAAACTGTGCGTGAAAATCAATAAGGTCATAAAGACCCAAGCGGATAAATCCGACAAGAAAACACCGGCAACGTTTTCTAGAAAATTCGCAGATGACCAACAGCTGACCGTTATAGTCTCACATCCCCACGGCTGCCCCAAGCAAGTCTCGGTTGGACACAGTACCAACAAAGACGAGAATGAGGAGTGGACCAGGTACACCTACACCACCGCGACCTGCCCGGGGAGCAGTGGCGCACCTGTGTATATTCTAGAGGCGGGGGAGGTTTTCATGTCCCACCTGCATAGCGGAGCCAACGATAGGGGCAACTACAGCTCCGCCTGGCCATGGGGGAGCGACGTGATGTAACTGTGGCGGGCAAGTCTGGCCCTGGGGGGGGGGGGGGTGACATGATATAACCGTGGCTGACAAGTCTGATGCTGTTTAAATTCACTGTCTAGACTTGAGTTAGCAGTAATGCTAAACATTGATTGCTTTGTTTGATTAACTATACACAATTATTTAAATTTATAACTTTTTAAAGTTGTAGTAGTTTGACTTGATATAAATGTTTTGCCACAGAAATGCTATATTAAAGGTTGTGGTGTTGTTTTCAATAAAATCAACGTCTATTTACCTATATTATAAAAGTGTACACAATAGTATATTAAAGTTGTCAACAAATTTCAGAATTCATTTTTACTTGTTCAGAGAGAAATACAACAACAATATGAACCATGTGATTTCTATGTATAGTGAGAGAATAAATATTTCAGTACTGTCGAACTCTGTGCAGAAGTAATGTGTTTACTCTATAAATATCATTCTCTTTTATTTGTTAATAAAACAAAATACTCTACTTTGACACTTTAAAGCATTTAAAACTTGTCACAGGAACAGTACCCGAGCTTGACATTTTCCCTCACACTTAAAAGTTGAGGTACTACCCACTACACAATATTAGAACCGCTGAAATGAGGCTAGAATGTAACTTCTTTTATAATACCCAGCTAAATTACCAGGTTCTGATATTATCAAGAGATCACGTTTCGTATCCTTGTTCCTTGACCCCTGGCTGGGGTGGGGGTGGGGGGGGGGGGGGGGCTGAGGAGGTAACAGACGACCGAGATACCTCCCTTGTTACCTTGCATGAGGAATTGTGTAGCGAAGCATTTCGTCTTCAAATGTTCACAAACATTAGCCAGTTGGTGTAGTTTTATTTTCTATTTTCTAGTTTTGGAAAAAGGTATTAACATTGAAGGTTTTTTAAGTTCGGAAAAATTATTTGGTGGGATATAATCAGACCAGGACACTCTTGATAGGATAGTCACTGCGTAGTGTTTTGATATTTGACATTGCTTGAGGGATTTTGGATGACCACAATAGTTTCACCACTTCGAGTGAGTGAAGGACGGTCCTACTGAGAGTCCTAGTGGAAAGGACACAATCTTCAACCTTCTAGTTAGCTGCCGTTGCTAGCCACGCCATCTCCATGTAGAAAACAGCCTGCCTTATGTTACAAGATCGTGTATGGGGAACTTGTGTAGTAACAAAAACGTATGAAAGGTATCATATAGCGTCCACACTATCAAACTGTAGCATCAAAATAGTTTTACTTGAAGTTGTTTTTTAATCTCACTAATCAACTAGAAATCTGAAGAATAATGAGACCTTTTAAATCTAAAAAGATAAGAAAATAATTTAACAAATCACACGAAAGTGAAATATTATTTGCTTGGTTACAAACAAAAAATAAGAATGAACATGTTATAATGAAAATAGATAGCACATATTTTTAAAAAGTACGGAATCCTTTTTTTTTTAGCAATCAGCTTTACGATGTACCACCATGTTACGAATAATTATTGCATGTATTAGATAGTTGACCTATAGAATGCTACACAGCATAAACAAATATAACACGTCACTACAATAAAGAATGGTCGTATATTACAAATCACTACAATAAAGAATGGTCGAAAATTACAAATCACTAAAATTACTGACATGATAAAAGAATGAATACTCATAATATTATTGTAAGATAGCAGACAACCCTGGCGCTAGTTTCTGGCAAAAGTAACATCATCAAATTACACGCGCTAATTAACGTTGCTACGTAATGTCCGACTTGGAAACGTTTATTAACTTTTACATTAGAACTATTAACTTTGCGTACATACTATCCCAAATTTTTAGTGCTATTAATTTGTTTCAAACCCCGTTCAGATCAGATGCAGATAGCATTATAAATTTGTACGTATCGCAAACTGGGTGGTTGCGTTTCATCCTCAATGTTCTTTTTTTTTAAAAAAATTGTATTAAAAGATGTGCAGTTTTAGTTTTTTAGGAAAAATCTAAGGAAAAAAGCAAATGATTTCACACAGTAATTCATCTCGATACCATTTTAACTAAATAAGTATGATATCCTTGGCTCTAGACACGGGTTCTGATGGCGCTATTTATCATATTAAAACTAATAGTGCAAAAAATATTAACAAGATCTAGAAAAGTTTGAGCAGTGCCGTTAGCACAAGCATGATAACAGAAGCCACACCATGAGAACCACTGCAGGTCGCTTTTAGCTTAGAAAATTCCTTCTCCGTGCAACCTTCTTTATTCATACAATCCAGAACCACTGCTAGGCTTAGAGCGTCACAGTACTTCTCCCCTTGGATGAAAGCGGACGCCACGAAGAAGTTGTGAGTGCATGAATCCAATTGGTCTTGGCACATCTGAGAGGTTGCCACGATGGCGTCAGAAAATGGTTGGGATTGGCTTGTCGAGCAGGCAATCGTATTCAGATTTAAAATTTCATTCGACGTGCAGTCGGGAGTCAAACATTCCCTTGTGGTTTTACCCGTGACAACCAGGTTCATCAGTTTACAGTACTGCTCCTGTTGTTTTAAAACTGTGGCCACATTAGACTTAAAAATACAATCAACTATTTGACGTTGACAAGTGCTGCTCGTTGATTTTACCACATTATTCACAGATGTTTTAAAAGCACTGGACCATGTCTGGACTGTAGCCGTCTGACCACAAGCTCCATTTTTGAGAGCCACAAACTCCTCGTCTGTACAAAGTCCGATCTTTACAACACACTGGTAGGCGCTGACACCATTGATTGTCGACGACGCTAGAGTACACCAACCAGCGTCATTAAAAGGGGCTGGATTGTTTGAGAGCGTAATACACGCGTCTAGAGATTTGCTGCAAGCTTCAGACACTCTCCGCCGCTCTGTACTAAAGTCTGCCGATGTCTGTGTCAGACCAGACATCAGCACACAGACAGCACACACCAGTTGGTACACGCAGGATTTCATCTAGAGAAATGTTATACAAATTAAACTTTCATGGTCTAAAGCAGGGGGAGGAGGGGGGCGTTATGCCACTTATTTCAAATAGTGGATGTCATAAAAGCACCGTTACTTCCTTAAATTTAATTCGATATATATATATATATATATATATATATATATATATATATATATATATATATATATATGTATATATATATATATATATATATATATATATATATATATATATATATATATATATATATATATATGTGTGTGTGTGTGTGTGTGCGTGTGTGTATGTGTGTGTGTGTAACAGACTGTACTATTGGTGTATTATGTTTTGAGAGAACTTTGTGTGACAATGTAATACATGGTCAACAGATGTGGATCTGTGAGCGACCAATCAAGTGTTTGTGAAACTACCTGTATCTAACTCACTGACTGCAGCGTGAGAAAGCTACGGTATAAAAGTTGTATAATGGTGTGCACTAGATGTGGACGTGAATAATCTCGATAAACATTTTAACCGATTGAAAAAAAATCGTAAAAAACCGTTTTAATAACCAGCTTTTATTTGATTATATGCTAAAAAGGAGAAAAGCATTTCATTTAAATACATAATAATAAACCTTTACTTACATTGCTAAAAATAAATGCGTGGATCGCTTTAGTAAAACGCTGAATATAATTATAAAAACGTAAGAAGTGTCTGTCTTTATTTGTCTAAAGTTAAGACTGTCTTTAAATTTTTGGTCAAATATACTCACGATATTTTATAAACCTATTTGGTCGTTTTCCTACATCCGAAAAACATTCAGCCAACGACAAGTTCTACCACTCTGGCTCAACGCTAGTCGTTCGTGTGTCATTGTGGCAATGGTTGACTTCAAGCTCTGGGGGATACGAATGTTCCAATCGACGTTTGAAAAAGCCAGCATACGTTCTCTAGTGTGGCGTGGATATCCGTGCGTTCATCTAACGACGAATCTAGCGGCTTCAGGTGACGCTTCAGTGGGGGCCTGCTTCGTTTCCTGCAAGAACATAACGCTGCACACACGGCCCTGTTAAATAAACTTCCTGGTTTATTTGTTAACTATAACAATCCCAGGGCAATCGGAATATATAGATTGTAGGTATTGTTTTTGTGTGCAAAACCCGCATTTTTTTTTAGAAAACATTTATAGGATGAAAACGTTTTAGAATGTGTTGTTTAATGAGAGTATGAGATCAAATTATCTGAAGATTTACGAGAAATTGGGAAAAGAAATATCTCTGCCTGGGGATAGGGAGCAAGGCGTGGTGTAGAGGTAGAGCGCTGAACTGCTGACCCAAAAGTCTAGAGTTCGATCCCGGGCTCTAGCCACCAGATGAGTACCTGACTCGCGATAGGGAAAACAAAAGCGGCCGGGCATAGTGGGAAAATAATATTTCTACTTCTTCGATCTTAATTCTAGTGTCCAATGGATTCCCTCAAACACAATTAAGTATAACATGTCAGATTGTTATGCGCCTTATAGGCCGTGGACTCCGATTTCGGCCTGCTTTTCTTTTTTAATTTTCTGCCAAAGCCTTTATCCAACCAAGAACAAACTACAAGGCATCAGTTGTTTGATTTTGGACCTGTGACTCCTAGAAGAGTTGTTGCCCCCAGTTATCGAACCTCATCTGCCCCGGGGTTCGAACTCGGGATTTTTCAACCATGTGCTGTTCAACCGACCCGACCACACCGACCTTGAGAAGATGATGAAATGATCCCGAAAGCGCAAAAAAAATAAGAAAAAATTGTCAGTTACCTACCCTTAGAATTTAGGATGTAAGTATCAAATGTTGCCCAACAAACTGAACTCAGGTGATCGGCCATCAAGAAACAGACATGAACTACCCATTTTGTTAACCGGAAATCTGTCAAATGTTGAAAGAAACACACGTTTGGGATTTAACACGTTTCTATTATGTCTACGTAATGGAAACTGTATTCAAGTTATTGTGTTGACATACACACAGGCAGTGGCGTAGCGACGGGGGGAGGGGGGGGCGGGGGTGCGGACTGCACCGGGTGACACCATTTAGGGGGGGTAACACCATTCAGGGGGGGTGACACCATTTAGGGGGTCGACACCATTTAGGGGAGTGACACCAAGGCAAAAAATAGCAAAATATATAGTGAAAAATGATAATTCCACTTAATTAAGTTATTAATTCGAGTGTTAAATAGTCTTTTAAGAGGTGCAAATCGAAAGTTTGTTTGAGGGCGGGGGGGGGGGGGGGGGTGCAAATTAAAAATTGAAAGTTTGTCCCTGGGAAGGGTCGTTACGGGGGGTGACACCATTAAGTACCGCACCGGTTGAAACCCGACCTCGCTACGCCATTGCATACAGATAACATACATACAAGATTGTAAATAACCTGGATTTTTCCTGACCCAGGAAGTAGATTTGTTTTTGCATGATTAAAATACTTTTCTCCGATTACGAGTAAGTTAAAACCCGGGAATCATCTTTTATAACTGAGGATGGCAACAGGATATAACCCTGTGTACAAGGAATGCAGGTAGTGTGGGATGTGTACACCTGCCAGGTTCATACACAATGTATACATGAAGTGTGGGGTGTATACATCTACCAGGTTCATACACAATGTATACATGAAGTGTGGGGTGTATACATCTACCAGGTTCATACACAATGTATACATGAAGTGTGGGGTGTATATATCTACCAGGTTCATACACAATGTATACATGAAGTGTGGGGTGTATACATCTACCAGGTTCATACACAATGTATACATGAAGTGTGGGGTGTATACATCTACCAGGTTCATACACAATGTATACATGAAGTGTGGGATATGTACACCTACCAGGTTCATACACAATGTATACACACATCATGTGACCTGTTCCTGTTGAATAAAGCATTGAAGCGTGAACCTGAATGAATCCAACATGTCATGGGTGGCTGCACGCTTGAAAAAACAGACAGCAATAAGCAACAACAGCCGAACAGCTTAAAAGTGCATTTGGGCGTTTGTCGCGTTGGAGCACATCTATTCCGGAAAAGGGCTCTGGTAAACAGCTTTTCCCGGTAAAAGTTTTTCGAGCAGACCGAAAGCCGCTATATTCACGCTCAATTATATGTATGTCTACTATATAAAATAAGATCTTTTTCCCGGACAATTAATGCTGCTCTCAACTGTTAGGTGTCAAATATTATGTCTAAAATCTTCAATTCTTGCCATTTCACACTACTGCTGGGGGTAAAATTCTACGCCCTTCTACTGCTAGTACAATGACCTTCCTAACATATGTTAAAACATTATGTGACGTTGCTTACACATGTTAACACATTATATGACAGCCCAAACACAAACATACACCTGCGTTCACACATCCCTATGTGTATATATATGTATATATATATATATATATATATATATATATATATATATATATATATATATATATATATATATATATATATATATATATATATATATATATACACACACAAGACAAATTATATAACATTAAGGGCAGGTTAAACCCCCAAATTGAAATTTAGGTGTTAGGACTTTTTTGAGTGATAAGGAAGTTGTAACTAGCATAGTATATGAAAAAAATGCAAAAAAATCACTAAAAAGTTATGGTTTAGAGAAAATATTTTCTAAAAAGTGTCATTTTTAGGGTAAAATAGCTCAAAATTAGCTCTCATTGAAATCAAAATAACATGGCTTCTGTTTGTCAGAATAACACATATCTTTAATATAATGTAATATACGCAATTACAAAAAAGATGAACTAAAACAAATAGAAAATAATAAAAAATGGATTTTAGCCAAATTTTTTAAAAGTGAGACCTAAAATTTTTCCAAAAAGTAGGGAGTAGACTTAGCTTTTTTTTTATAAAATGAGAAGTTTCAAAGATATAGAAATTGTTTTAGTTCAACTTTACAAGCAGTGTTTAGTAAACATGTGTGCAAAATTTCAGCTAAATATCTCAAGTGGTTTTGGAGTTATAGTGATTTGACTGGTACAATTTTGTTGAAAAGTAACATTTTGAGAAAAACGCTAAATAGTGAAAAATATACTAAATTTGAAAAAAACGAGAAAAAGCGAAAACTATACCAAATAAGTCATTTTTAAAACCTCCCAGTTACATAAATTGCATCTGGAGCCTCTTACTCAGCAATAAGAACATCTATTTTAGTTAGTTTTTAATTTTTATGTTGCTAAATGTTGCTTAATATAGGTGAATTACGTCATTAGTCTCATTAATTAAAAATTTATAAAAAATACTAGCAATACAAAATTTTGCAAAATGATTATACAAAAATGTTCAGAATCGAACATAGTTTCAGAAACAATAGATTTTCAAAAATCAACTTTTCTGACTTGAATATGTATTTTGGGGGGGTTTAACCTGCCCTTAACCAATTAGTAAATAAAAAATAGAACAAATATTACTTGTCTAGTTTTTTTTAATCATCATTAAAAAAGAATGTTACATTAATATTTTATTTTAAAGTTATAAATTTAGAATTAAGTAAATTTGATTAACAACGAATAGTAGATTGGTCATAATGTTCTTAAAGTCTAGAATGGTAAATACACGAAAAAAATAGTATTTATAATCAGTCTGACGAGCTTAAACATATATTGTGATATAGATCCCTGAAAACTCTAGTATTAGATGCGAAGAAAATTTCAAAATGTAGTTGCTATCATTATACTATAATAGCAACATTACATTGTAGCACAGAGGCGTAGCGAGAGGGGGGGGGGGGGGGCGAGGGGTATATGTCACCGGGCGCCGACCTTAGGGGGCGCCAAAATGGGTTGTAAAAACAAATTGAAAGTTTGAAGGGGTTGGGGTGTGGGGGGGGGGGGGTGCAAACCGAAAGTTTGAGAGGGGGGGGGTGCAAATCGAAAGTTTGTACCCGGGCGCCGGGAAGGGTCGCTACGTCTCTGTAGTAGCATCTAAGTGTCAAGTTATATATGGTCTCGCGGAGCGATCAAGATCCTGAGAAGCTGACTGTTTCTCGTTTCAGCACTGTACATTTTTGTTATGGGCCACTGTGTCAATTATGTGTACAGGTATGCTTTGGGCCACTGTGTCAATTATGTTTGCAGTTTTTCTTGGGACCACTGTCAGTTAGGTGTTACAGTTCAGTAAATATGATATGCAGGTTTTATTCGAACACTGCGTCAGTTGGGTGTTTAGAGATCTGTATTCGGCCATTGTTTCATCTTCGTGTGTAGGAGTTATGTTTTTGGCCAACGTGTTAATTAGACGTAAACAGTTCTTTTATCGGCCACTGAGTTAAATTGTACACAGTTCTGTTTTTGGCCACTGTTTTCATTAGGTGTGCACACATCTTTGTCAGCTAATAGCCTGGTTGCTTCTTATATAGTGGGCAGGTTGTTTGACAGTTAGTGCGCTAGCACATGGTGGGCTTGTCTTTTATTGCTCTGGGTGCTAGAATATTGGGTTCGTAGTGGTTATTGGGATTTCCATTGTCTGAGCAGTTTGCTGTTTGTTGTTTGTTGTTGGTTGGTTGGCTTTCTTCTGGTTGTGCTAGTTGCTAGTAGGTATTGTCAAAGAGACTAGTTGTGGATATATTGCTGATTCATTACTGATTAGCAGATGGTTGCTGATTGCCGATGGTGCTTGATGCTAGATGGTGGACCAACTGGAAAGCTGTTGGCTAATTAGTTTGCGGCAGGTTTGTTGACGAACATAAGGCTGGCGTCTTGGTTTTTTGTTGCTTGTGGGAAGGCTGGTACTATATTTACAAATAGTAGGTGGCGTCTTGATTGTGGACGTGTGGGCTTCCTGGAAAAATTTGATTTATAAGCTGGCGTCATTTTCGTTGAGAGCTAGCAGGCTGTATGTTAAAAATTAGTAGCCTGGCAGCTGGTTGGCTGTGGGTCGGTGAATCGGCTGATATTGGCCGATAGACATGTTGGTTGTGGGCTTGAGGCTGGCTGGTCATA